ATAAAAAAATGCACATAACTGTTTAGAATACTGTGAATTTACTCCTTGCTTTTAAGAACTCTATATTATCAAGCTTATATTAATATATTCTGATTAATGTTTCAATCTCCTACTGTAGGTTCTGGTTAATAGACTGTCGACAAATCCAAGAGTCTGTTACATTTGCCAGCCAAGTGTATAGAGAAATTATATGTGTGCCCTATATGGCCAAATTTGTTGTATTTGCCAAATCCCATGACCCCATAGAAGCCCGACTACGATGTTTTTGCATGACGGATGACAAGGTGGATAAAACACTGGAGCAGCAAGAAAACTTTGCTGAAGTTGCTAGAAGCAGAGATGTAGAGGTAAAAAAAAACATCATATATTTATTATTATTTACTTATAGGGCTGAAGATTTCAACACCTTACATTTGCCATAATGCCAATTATTAATCCTCAAATTTGTCACAGTCAGGTGGTCAATGCATTTAAGAGGCAGTGGTGGCTGGTGACATTTAAAGATGGTGTGGTACCCCCATTCTTCCGACTTGTTGAGCTCTGCCCACTTATCCCCTTGAACTAAACCCCTGACCCAATTGGATGTCATGCCCTGCTCACAACATTGTTATAATCTTAAGTATCAAGTGTCAGGTGTTACTTAAAATAGTAATAACAAATCTGGTATGTACAAACTTCGCATATATTTTACAGCAGAGAATATAATTGCTGCAAAGAGCGGGAGAAAAGCACAGAGTAAAGATCAGAATTGTCCTAACTTTTATTTTTATTTTTTTTTTTAAACTTTTTTATTGAGGTATTAAAAGCATTACAATGATGTCAGCAGCACAGTGTAGTTAACAAAACAACAGGTTCTTTTGCAGGCACAAGAGTCTCAACGTTATTGATATTGGGGCGAGAACAGAGAAGTTCCCACTTTTTGTGTTGCAAGGGGGGGGGGTTTGGTGTGATAAGGTGGGTTACATACGGCTTTGATGTCTTATACCCTAGCAGTGCAATAAGGGAGGTATGCCAGAGTACACTGCCTGATAACGAGTGCGTGGTGTGGGATGGTGCTCCAGCTGGTCATCGGGCATTGTGTGTAGGCGCACACTGTTATCTTGTGGCTAGAGTAGAGCAATGGTGCATGGGTGAGGGCACTGGATGGTGGCATGTTCAGGTGCCTAGCAGTTTGGATAGTCTATACGGCGTATCAGCCTGGAGGGTGGGTTATGCGCGAGGGAAGACAGGGGTTTAGGTCTAGCTGGGGAAGTGGTGTCAGGCAATTTGTCCCTGCTTTCCTTGGAGGAATTGGAGCCAGGGGGTCCATGTAGTGAGGTATTCGTCATATTTGAGAGTGAAGGAGTAGGAAAGTTCCTCCATTGTTCTGATGGAGTCAACCCTGGCGATCCAGGCTCTGATAGTTGGGGCTGTAGTCTGTTTCCACATTGTGGGGATTAGAGCGTTGGCAGCCGTTAGGAGGTGGTTGAGTAGGATGCGATTGTGCTTGGTCAGTGGTTGGGGGTATGATAGGAATAGCATGGTTTCAGGGGTGTGGGGGAGGCGTACGCCAGTGATGGTGCGTATGAGGTTGGCCATCTGTCTCCAGTAATCCTGGATTACGGGGCAGAGCCACCAGATGTGTCCTGAGGTTCCCTCAGTTTGTTTGCATCTCCAACATGTTTTGGGTGTGTTAGGGAAGAATCTGTTGATGCGAGTCGGCGTGTAGTGCCATTTAGCAACTCTCTTGTAGTTGCTTTCGTGGGTGCTATTGCTCTTGGACGTGTGGAATATGTTATGGAAGATTTTGTGCCAATTTTTAGCCGGTATTTGAGTGGACAGTTCTTTGTCCCAGTGTGTGGTGTAGGTTGGCAGGATTTCGTCTTGGCTGTGGCGGATCGTTTTGTAGAAGGATGAGATTAGTCCTTTACGTAATGTGTGGTGGGAGCATAATATTTCGAAAGGTGTGGGATTTCTGTGTCCCTGGAGGAGTATGGGGTCCGAGTGTAGGAAGTGTGTAATTTGCGCGTATCTAAATCTAAGCATGCTAGAGGGTTCGGCATTGGTGGTGAGGTCCTCAAGTGGGATGATCCCTTTGTCGTTGCGTACATCTCCTAGGGTGAGTGTGTGGGTTTGTTTAGGAAAGCTTTGGAGAGCGATTGGGTTAGAGCCTGGCAGGAAGGCTGGATTGTCGGTTAGTGGGTAGAGCGGGGACGGGTGTGGAGCTATATGTTGGTCCCCCCTTATGTTGTGCCAGGTACGTAGGGTATGAGGGATTGTTGGGTGTAACTCTGAGTTGTGTGTTGTGATGATGGGCTTTTTTCCTAGCCAGGGTGCCAGGTGTATTGGTGATGAGAAGAAGCTGGCTTCAATCTTTACCCATTGTGTGTCGTTGTGGGGATGTGCCCATTCGTAAATTCGTGTAAGTGTGATAGCCTTGTGGTAAGCCTCCAGGTCTGGGAGACCTAGGCCCCCTCTCTGTTTACTTTTGGTGAGGCAGTCATATCGGAGTCTGGGGGGGTTGTCGGCCCATATGAATGTTGTAAACGTCCGCTTAGCTTGGGCAAAGAATGAGGTAGGAATTTTGATGGGGAGGGTTTGTAGCAGGTAGAGAAGTTTGGGGAGTACATTCATTTTGAGGATGTGGGTCCTGCAGAGCCATCCAAATTGTGGCCTGTTCCAGGCCTTAAGGTCTGCCGCAATCTTGGCAAGGAGAGGGGGAAAATTGATGTCGTATGTGCGGTCTAGGGAGGTAGTGAGGTGGACTCCAAGGTATTTGACCGACTCTGGGGGCCATTGGAATGGATATGTGTTGCGGAGTAGTGATCGGGTGTTGTGGGATATGTTAAGGGGGAGTATCTCGCTTTTGCTAACATTGATTTTGTAGTTGGAGACTTGGTGGTATAGGTCGATTTGTTGCATGAGGTGGGTCAGTGAAGTCGTCGGGTTTGAGATTGTGAACAGAAGGTCGTCAGCAAATGCTGTGACCTTGAATTCACTTCGTGCTATTGTGAGGCCTGTTATATCGGGGCAATCCCTAATTCCCTGCAGAAATGGTTCCATTGTGAGAATAAATAACAGGGGGGATAGGGGGCATCCTTGTCTCGTGCCGTTTGTTATTTGAAATACGTCCGAAAGTTGGCCATTAACCCTGATCCGTGCTCCTGGTTTGGAGTAAATGGCTGAGAGCCACTTGCTCCAGTTTGGGCCGAAGCCTAGCGCTTGTAATGTCAGTTTAAGCATAGTCCAGTCCACCCTGTCGAATGCCTTTTCGGCATCTATGGTAAGTATGAGGCTTTGGGCTTGCGCCGATTTGGCGGTGTAGATGAGGCTAAGCAATTTCGTTGTATTGTTTTTAGCCTCGCGGCCGGGCACAAAACCGGATTGATC